GGGCAGGGGTGTGCAAGTGTGTATAGGGGGGTGTAGGTTGTAGCCGTGTTGGTCTAAGGACAGGGGCAGACAAGGTTCCTTGGGTGAATTTGATATCATTTATTAGACCAACTTAAATGGTTGGAGAATAGTTATTAAGCAAGCTTTCGGGTTCAAAAACCCTTCGTCAGGCTAAGGAGGTGTCAGCAGTTGGTGTGTGCTCTTCCTGGATGTGTGTATATGTGCATGCATGTGTGCATGTGTGCGTCCTGCTGGCAGGGGCAGGTGTGTGTGCATGTCCATGTCTGTGTATGCGTGTGTGTGTTCTGCCGGCAGGGGCAGGCGTGTGTGTGTACATGTGTGTGCATGTGCATCGTGTTGGTGGGGGGTGTGCATATGTTCTGCCGGCAGGGGCAGGCGTGTGTGTGTACATGTGCGTGCATGTGTGTGTCTTGTTGGCGGGGTGGCGGTGTGCATGTGTTCTGCCGGCAGGGGCAGGTGAGGTGTGTGTGTCCTCATGCATCTGGCTGACTTGTGGCAGCCATCAGCCTGACGTCTGGGCCTCTCTGGCACGTGACTGTATGGGGAAACTGAGGCACAGAGGGACTGCATTGACCCAGGCTGTGCAGGAAGCTGCTGGGAGATCAGGCATTACCCTGGGTGCCCCATGCTGGGGCTCTGACCACTGAGCACGCCTTCCTCTCGGTGGCTCCCCGCCAGGCAGGGGAGGCTGCGGCAGGCGCCCCGTGAGAGAGCTGTGCCCTTTAAGCTGGCGTGGAGGGAAAGCTCCCCGAAGCGAGACCGGATGTGGGTCTTCCTTTGTGGGGGCCGGCGGGAGAACCGGCTCTGGAGCTCAGGCTGCCAGCAGAGCCGGGGCTAAACCCTGCAAAGCGGAGAGGCTTCGGGCCTGCCAGGTCCCCTTGTGCGGGCACTAGTCCCGTGAGCTGGGACCGGCCAACATGGCCCTGCCATGCCCGCTCCACCATCACGTGCCCTGGCAGTGTGGGATCGAGCGTGGGATCGGGGCCCCGGGCAGCATTGGGCTGCAGGGGCAGGTGAAACTCCCCCTGCTGCACCCTTGCCCGCCCCAGGATAGATCCCTTGGTGGCCCCTCATCTGTCGGAAGTCCCCTGCGACGGGGCACAGCATGGGTGGGCATCCGCAGTGCCACCTTTGGGTGCCCCGCTCTACCCCGGAGCTGTCCACGCCACGCTTTGCCCGGGCCCCCAAGGACTCGGGGGCTCCAGCGTCCTGGGTGAAAACCAGCCTGAATTGCAGCACCGCGCTGCGGCGTGGAGGGGGGCATCGGCCGGCGGCTGGCTCCGCTCCTCCCCTTCAATTAGAAGCCCGATGGTCGGATGAATGCGGGGGCGAGTGGCTTTGCCCAGGCAATTAGAGGCATCCTGGGCCTATAACGAGTCCCCTCGGATGCTCTAACGAACCGGCCTGCGGTTCCCACCCCATCAGACATCCGCTCTGCGCTATAACCCGCCGCTCCGTGGCCAGGAGCCTGCTCCCTTCCTCCACCCTGGGTGTGCTGATTTCCAGGCCCATTGTCGCAGGTTAAAAATACCCAGGCTGGAAGGTGAGCCCTGCTTCGCCCTTCCTCCTCGCCCCACCCAAGCAGCCCTTTTCCCCTTTGCGAGCAGGACGGCCGCCGGGTCTAAAATAGCCGCCGAGAAGCACATAATTAAGAGGGCCTTAAAATAAAGGCGCAGGTCTTAATTTCAGCTTGGATCTCTCCGGGCTGCATCCATCCGGGCTCCCTGTAACCACAGGTGGCCGGTTCCTGTTCTGTTCGGGTGTCTCGCTCCCCCGGCTGCATCTCTTTTTTCGTCTTCTGCGGGTTCAATCAGCCAGACAGAAAACCCGGGGAGTGTTACAAGGCAAAAATAAAACAGCCTGGTGCACTTGAGACACACCTGGGAGCGTTGTGCGGGCTGGGGAGCGGCAGCAAAGCCGGGCAGAAGTTAAGGCCTGTTGCTATATATTTGATTTTTTCCTTCCCCCCCCACCCACATCCCTTCGCTGCTTCTGCTGCAGAGCAAGCTGAAAGGGAGAATGGGAATGTTGCAGGAACCGGCAGGGCCAGGTTGGGTGTTTTTTTTCTCCCCGGCTGGGGCGTGAGGACCTTGCTAGGGGCCAAGGCGAAGGAGGGTGGAAAGAGCTCCCTGGTGCTGGCGTCTTCCCCTGAAGGAGGGTGCAAAGGGTGCCCCTTCACACACCTGGGGGGGGAAGACAAAGGTGGTTGTGTTTGCCCAGAAGTTTCCAAACAATGGGCTGAGTTGGGAGAGGAGGCTGCCTTAAGGTGGACTGGGTAGGGCCCTGGCACGTCCTGTGTACCCATTGCTGGGGCAGGGCAGCCCCTGGCATACAGCAAGCACGCCAGGGCTCAGTGGGGGCAGGGGGTCTTAGCCATGACGGATCCCTGCCCCCACCCCCACCCCCACCGGGGCCTGGCCAGGTGTGAAAAGCCCCATCCCAATCAGTGGAGCCACCTGGACCCCCTTCCTCCCCCCAGCTCTCTCCGGGTTAACCCTTAACAGTGAGCTTGCCTGCCTTCCACTGCAGGGATGCTTTCAAATCCCCTGGGCACGTGCCAGCGTCTTGTCTACGCCAGGGCTCCAGCCCCGCTCTCGCAAAGGGGGCTTGCACCTCTGAGACGGCTTGCCCCAGGGGGAGGTCAGCGGGGCCAGACTGGGGGCGAGGGGGGGGGGGGGATAGGGGTAGCCCCCGCACAGCTGAGACCTGGACACAGATGGATGCAGGGCACGTCCTGGGCTTGGCCAAGTGCTGGCACCTGGAGCCCGTCAGCACCTCTCTGCTGTTGTGGGCCCTGGGCAGGGTGGTGGGACGGGGTGGGCAGTGACTTCCCCAGCAGCTGCGGAGAACGGCTCAGGGGGTCATCTGGGAGCACAGGCACCAGGAGAGGGGGAAGCCTTTGGGGCTGGGAATGGCTGCCTCAACTGGCACAACTCCGTGCCTCGGTTTACCCGTCTGACGGGCCGGGCCAAGGGGAGCAGTGTGTCCAATGCCTGTGTGGTGCTTAGGAGCTGGAGTTTGCACCGGGTGGCTGGGAGCTCCTGGCAAGCGGCTGTGCCCAGGCCTCTGCTGTGTCCAGAGCAGCCGGCAGTCGGAAACTCTCTCTGACCCCCTCCCGCCGCGGGAGAGGAAAGCCCCCGCTCTCCTGATTCCCAGCCCAGTGCCCTCTCCGTGAGGCCGTGCCCGTGGCTCGCCTGACCCCCCGGGCCCTGCACTCAGACTGGGCCCGGGGCAGGTCCCTGTGGGGCCACGCGTGGGTGGGAGGCCGGTGCAGGGTGGGACAGGTGGCGGTGGCAGTATCTGTATCCCGCGCCCGGGCGGCTGCTGCCTCCCGATAGCAGGGCCCTGCTAATCAGCAGCAGCCTGAAGGCCAAGGTCACGGGGGCAGGGATGTTTCCCAGCCCTCTGCAGCCCCTGGGGGAAGCAGCGTGGCCAGGACACCCTCCCTGCTTGGCCTGACCATGACCCCAGCCTGGGGCAGCAGCCTTGGTCTCCTGCCCTGCAGGGCTGGGGTGGGGGGCACCTGGAGCAGCCGGGGTCCTATCCCAGGGCTGCAGTCATCTCCGTAGAGCCTGAAGGCCTCTTGCCCTATGGCACTGGGGCCACGTGAAGCTGCCCTGATGGTGCCACGGGCAGGGCAGAGGCTTGGCATATCCAGTGCTCTCGGGCAGGACAGGACGGGACGGCTGGGGGAGCACGGAGCCCCTCGCTGAGCCCCTCCGCCCTGCCCGCAGCCTCCCTGCCCTTCGTCATCCTGACGCTCGTGGACTCCCCGTACAAGCGCGGTTTCTACTGCACTGACGACTCCATCCGCTACCCCTACAAGGCCGACACCATCACCCACGGGCTCATGGCCGGCGTCACCATCACCTGCACCGTCGTCATCGTAAGCACAGTGGGGCTGGGCGGCTCCCTCCTTCCACATCCCCTGGCTCCAGGCCCTCCCTGGGCTGACCCTCTCGTGGCTCTGCAGGTCTCGGCAGGCGAAGCCTACCTGGTGTACACGGAGCGCCTCCACTCCAGGTCGGAGTTCAATAACTACCTGGCGGCGCTGTACAAGGTGGTGGGCACCTTCCTCTTCGGCGGCGCCGTCAGCCAGTCCCTCACCGACCTGGCCAAGTACATGATCGGGCGCTTGCGCCCCAACTTCCTGGCTGTCTGCGACCCCGACTGGACCAAGGTGAACTGCTCTATCTACATGCAGCTGGACAACGTGTGCCGGGGCGACAGCCGCAACATCACCGAGTCCAGGTGCCCACGGGCCTTCCTGGTGGTAGGGGGGCTGGGGGCTGCATTGGGCCTGTCTCCCCCAGGGTGTAAGGAGATGCAGCCCCTCAGCTCTGGAGGTGGAGGTGGGGGTCTGTCTGGGGCTGGGGGCTGGAGATTGATCCTGCAGGGCCTGGTGGTAGCGGTGGGATGGACAGGCAGAGGACAGGGGGGTTTCTTTCTGTCTCACCCCCTCCCTGTCTCCTTCCAGGCTGTCCTTCTACTCGGGGCACTCTTCCTTCGGGATGTACTGCATGATGTTCCTGGCGGTGAGTGACACTTGGGGACGGAGTGGGGTTCAGTGGTTGGGGGGGGGGTGGGCAAGGCTTCTTTGCCTGTCTGCACCCACCAGCATGGCTGAGCCCTGCACTAGGGTCCTGCGATCGGGCCTCTGGATCCGGGGTGGGGGATGCAGCGCTCGGCTGGCTGGGGGTGCTGACCGGCCTCCTCCCGCCCCCCCCCAGCTGTACATCCAGGCCCGGCTGGCGGGGAAGTGGGCCCGGCTCCTGCGCCCCACGATCCAGTTCTTCCTCATCGCCTTCGCCATCTACGTGGGCTACACGCGGGTGTCGGACTACAAGCACCACTGGAGCGACGTGCTGGTGGGGCTGCTGCAGGGCGCGCTCGTCGCCGTCCTCATCGTACGTACCCGCCTCGCGGCTCTGGCCCCCCTGCTTCAGCCTTCTGCCCCCCTCCCCTGGCAGTGCCCGTAGCACCCGGGCAGCTGGGCTGGATGGAGAGCCAGAGGAGTCGGACAGGAACGAGCCCAATGCCCTGAAGCTTGTGGTGGGTGGTCCGGGGATCTGCAGGCTCGTGCCCTCCTCCATCCATCTGTCTGCTGCTAGCCCCAGGGGAGCAGTCGGGCTCCTGCGCCAGCCTCCGGGCTGTCCTGGAGCGTGTTGGACCCCTCTCCCCCTCCCCGCTTGCAGCCCTGGGGGGTGATGGCCACATAGGTGCAGGAGCCAGGACACCTGGGTTCAGCTCCCAATTTTCCAGCTGACCTGCAGCTTGACCTTGACAAGGCAGGCTTGGGGAGTGGGAGATGCTCCGGCCCATGTGGCTGGACACGGGGACCCCCCACAGGCTGCCTGGCTTGGTCCTGCCCCCAAGCTCCCCCCTCCAACCCTCTCTGTCCCCCCACCCCACCCAGGTTCGCTATGTCTCGGACTTCTTCAAGCAGCGCTCCCCCCCGCCGTGCACCGAGGACCCCGAGCGCAAGCCCAGCCTGCCGCTCACCCCGAGCGACCCCGACCGCAATCACTACAGCAGCTACCGGGGGGGGCCCTGAGCCGCGGCCCCCGGCGCACTGGGCCCAGCCGACGGCCCCCCAGGCCCGCAGGGCTGCACGGACGCTCCCTCCCCATATCATCTTCTCCTCTCCTTCGACCCCACGGCTCCCAGGACCCCCTACCCCCCTCTGCAAGGGGGCACCGGGCCAGCGCTGGGAGCGCCAGCGTGGAGCCCAGCCCCTCCTGGCCCGCGGATCCGGAGGGGCCCAGCGCCTGCGTGTGTGAGTCATTGCTTCTAAGGGTGACTTTCCAGCCCGCCGTGCGGAAGAGGCCAGAGTGGGGTGGGGGGGAAGGGAGCTGGCACGGGGCAGGGGAGGTTTGCTTGGCAAGCCGAGAGGAAGCCTGGAGGGGCAGGGGGCTGCTTGCATTTATATCCACGGCGTGGCCTGGCAGGGCAGCGACGCTGGCTTCTCCCACTGGACCAGGGACAACAGCTGCCCCGTTCCTCTCCCTCCGACACCCTTGGAAGCCGGCAGCTGGTGCAGACGATGGAGGCACGGGCACCATTCGCTCCCCGGCTCCTGTCTTGGGGTCTGCCTGTTTGCACCGGGCTGGGTGGGCCCAGCCCCTCCACGGCAGATCCGACCGACCCCGGGATGGCGGAGGGCGGGACTCTTCTGTGGTCAAAGAAACATCCTCACTTGGGCCTGATCCCAAACCCCCGCAGGAGGGCAGGCGATGGACCATGTCACCATTTATATATATAATATATATATATATGTGTGTATATTTTTTTTTTTTCCTTCGACAAGCCGCTGCCTCTGGATTCTTTATAAACAATGTAAATTTTGGTAACGATGCATTTTTGGGGGTTTTTTTGGTTAAAAAAAAAAAAAAAGTTTTTTTTAAATTAGATCATCCGTAAAGAATGGCAGCGTCAGGCCTGTTCTTCTGCACGCTGCATGTCCGTGGTCTTGACGATGCTGCAGCGCCTCGGTTTCTCTTTGCGGGGCGAGGGGGGCATGAAACCCCACATTAACGAGGGGGGGTACAGCGTTCCCTGCTCTTTCTGCTGCCCCTCCTGTTGTCCCTTCCCCCACGGGGCCAGGCCTGCCCTGATGATGGACCATCCTCCACGTTTGTCATCGGTCAGAGTTCAATTAATAAGGAAGCAGGCAGGCGCCTCGCGGCCTCTCTGGCCCCTTTATCGTTCTCTGATAGCACCTGGAAATTCCCGGTCCCCGTCTGCCCTGCGCTCACCGCTCCCATGATAAGGTCTTTGCAGCAGGGATTGTCTTTGTAGGCGCAGCACCGAGCGTGCAGTGGCGCCGGGACCAGGGCTCCAGGATGGGACAAGCGGGATGATTTACGGACCTGCCCTGGGATCAGGACCCCGCTGTACGTGGGGCTGGACAGGTCGTCGCCCACCCTGCGGGGGGGAGGGGGCTGGTGTTGATAAGGCAAAGGGAGTTAATCATCCTTTGGGTGCAGATAGGAGGGGAGGCCAAGCTGAAAAATCTCATGGGCCGGAGCTGAGTTCTCGCCTGCTGCTGTAACCACTGCACCGGCCTGCCTCCGAGTCCTTGTTGAGGCTGTTGGAGCGGTCAGCCAGGAAGGGGCAGCCAGCAGGGTCAGGCCTGTTGAAAAACTCAAGGGGGTTTCCAGCTCGGAGTCAGCAGGGCCTGGGCCCAAGGGTGCAGCTGTGCTGATCCCCCCCCCCTCCCCCCCGGGCATGCGTGGGACGGGGCATCAGGGCTGGGAGAGCAGTGGGGGTGGGGGCTGGCAGTGCCTCTAATCAGGAGATCGGCGCAGCGTTCCCAGCCAGCCACAGCGCCCAGCTATAAACCCCCTTGGGCAAGGCAAGATCCCACCCTGCAACCACTGGTGGGAGGGAGGGGGGAGACATCTTCCCCCAGCTGTGGGCAGCTGGGTCCCAGCCTGGCTGCACCTGCCCCCTTGCCCCTTTTCAGCCTCCAGCGTGGCCCCTGTTCCCAGCCACGTGATGGAAACAGACCCAGAGCACGGGCCCCATTTTCCGGTGGGGGAAACTGAGGCACAGAGAAGGAAAGGGAGGTCACGCAGCCAGACTAGGAGGGGCTGAGGTGCCAGGTATGGCATTGCCCAAGGCAAACCCCTGCAGAGGCCTTGGGTGGAGCAGAGGGATGCAGGGTGCCCCCACTCCTGGCTGGAGCGGGGTCTCAAAGGCGGCCAGAGGGGGTCTGTCACATCACGGTGTCCCAGCTTGGGGAGAGCCTTGGCCCTTTGCTAGCAGTGAAAGAGTTAACAAAGCCATCACTAGCTGGCAGGGCCCCCCCTTGGCTTCTCTGAGCAAGGGGTGCAGGCCAGGGCAGACTCTGGCAGCTGGGAGCTGAGCCGAGCAGGGTCACTGCTGTCCCCTACCACCCTGACCACGTCCCTATGGGGGAGGGGTCTCTCCACCCTGCGTCCCCTGCCCCAGTGCCCTGAGCACGCCCCACGTGCAAGGGGGAGAGCACCTCGATTTCACCCCGTGCATGGGCTGCTTCTCCAAGCCCCAGCTCCAGGAGTCAGGGGATCAAGGCAGGGAAGGGCCTGGCTGGCTCGGAAAGGGGGGACCCCAGAAGCCCACTGAAAGGGCAGGGAAGAGCCGGCAAATCTGCTTGCTGCCGCCTCTCTCAGTAGGTGCGTTGCAGCCTGGCATCCCCCTGCCCTGCCCTGTGCCTGCTGGGGCACAGAGACAGCCCCTGGCTGGAGCGGCTGCAGGCCAGGACGTGCTGCTCCTCCCCCCCCAGCAACAGCATCGCCCTTTGGATGCATCTCTGGAAAAACCAGCTGGGCCACAACCCGGAGCTCCTACTTAAAGGGCCAGCACGGCTGGGGGGGTTGGGGGGGGATGACAACACACCCCAGTCCGGCTCTGCCCGTTTCCCCACCCAGCGTGGGTGTCACAGATGCTGGAGGCTGGCACCTGTAGGTCCCACCAGTGCTGCCTGGCCTCTGAGCTTCCCCCATGCCCAGGGAAAGGGCAGGCCGGGCACATCTCTAGCTCATGGGGCACATGGCAATCCCAGAGAGCGGGCAAGGCCCCAAATGCCCCAGCAGCCCAGCCTGGAGTGGGGCATCCCCAGCTGATGTGAGCTGTAAATCCGGTGGCCGTGGGGCTCCCCCCCCAGATCAGGATCCACTCACCAAGGCCTGGCTGCTGCTTGTCAGGCCCCAAGCTGGGCTGGCTGGGGAGCAAGAGGCCTGGCAGGCAGGGTCAGGGTCACATCCTCGTGGGCAAAGGAGCTGATTTTCTGCCCCCAGCTTCCCGGATCCCATGGCTCGGGAGTCAGTGACGGCACAGGGGCAGGAAGGTGACGGGAAGGGAAGGGAGGGGAGGGGACTGCCGGCAACCCCACTGCAGCACGGAGCTGGGCATGCTTCCCGGCACGGTCACTCTCGGGTCAGACGGAGCGCCTGCCCCCCATGCAAGCCTGCCGCCAGCCGCCCTGCACAGAGGCAGGAGGGCGGTGGGCTCTGACCCCCATGGCTTGGGGGAGCAGTGCACATGTGTGGGCAGGCGTGTGCCCCAGCTGTGCATGCATGCAGCAGGGCAGCAAAGTGCTTGGGGGTCCGAGGCTAGAAGCAGCTTGGAAACCCAGCTAGAAACCCCCCGCCCCTGCCCCGCTGTCCGAAACTCGGCTCCCAGGCCTCCCTCATTCCAAAAGCAGCTGCTCCGGCCAGGCCTGGCTGGGCGCCCGCTCCCCTGCCCCACAGGAATAGGCCTGGTACGTGATCCCCTGCATCCCTACTCCTCCCCCGCCCCCATCACCAAGCAAGGGAGGAAGCCAGGGCCCCACTGGCAGGGGAAGCGGGTGTAGGATACCCCCTGAGCACCCTGCTATGCCAGGTGGGCAATGCAAAACACCCTGGAGAGCTAAGGGCTGGTACACCCCTGCAGGGCAATGGTGGGGGGGGGCCCCATCTCCAGTGGCCTCTGCCTGCAGGGCAGCTCCAGCTCCAGCTCCTGCCCCCCAGCAGGGGCATTGCTTTTGTTCTCAGCTCAAAGAAGATTATAGGATTAAAGTGTCTGTCATGCATGTCTCTGTATTCATCAATGAACCTTGACACAGAGGCTCGTGAATTTCTCACTATTGGCATCAGCGATAAGAATTAATTAGATGCCCTCCCTGGCTAACGAGATGCACAATATGATGGTACAGCACCAGCAGGCTGGTGCTGGAGTGTGGTACGCTCAGGTCTTTCATCTCCCTTGGTAGCTTTGATCTGTACCAGCATAAAACCAAAACCAGCTACGTAGCAGGCAAGGCAAATCTTCTCCTGTGGCCCCCCTTACACCCTCCTGAGTAAGGCTCTGCAGGACAGGGACCTTCTCTCAAGCCCCAGGAGCTTCTTGCTCCCTTTAAGGCTCTACATTTGCCATGGTCACTGGCTGCTCTGGGCCAGGCTCTATAGGATGCTCCCTGGGCAAGCACTGAGAAATCTTTCAGGACCAGCTTTCCTGGTGCGTATGACACTAGGAACTTGAAATCAGCCACGTAGCCTCCAGAAGACTCCACGTAGAACCAGCAGGGTTGCACAAACCCCCACACCACCCCTAGCTGCTCTGGATCAATCCCATGAGAACAGAAGTCCTTTTCCCAACACTTTTCAACGGGAATCCCCTTCACTCCCAGAGACCAAATATCCTTACAGAGAGTTCCTGTAGACAGGGCTGGTGGCCTGGAGGATTCAGTGCATAGTTCCATTCTGGAGGGGAACTTGGAAACTGGTTTGTTTTCAGGGTCAGAACCACTAATCTGTGTCTTTTGTTAATGAAGTCTTCCTGGTCAAGCCAGTGCAGCTGAGAGAGACCAGCTGAGCTCTGTTCTTTCCTGGGCACCATCTAGAGTCCACTTGAAGCAGCATGAACTCACTGCAGCATGCTCTGCACCGTGCCCTCCAAGGCTCCTTCTGTCTTTTGCCAACTCTCTGCAATTGATACATCTGGAGAGAACCCAGCCTGGCTTCCAGAACCTGCGGGACAGAGGTGATGGAAAAGGGTGGGAAAATTACGTTTCCTCATAAGCTACATTTGGGAACGAGACATGCTGACATGCACGAGGGCCCTGCAAGGCTAGCTGCACAGTGCGGAAGTGCAGCTTAAGGACACGGCCTGGCACACATGCAGTCTGTTTTGCAGCACTGACTGCTCACTCCACTTCAATACTGCAAGGGCAGCCGGGGTGCTGGCGGTACCATGCTGCACTGGTTTAACTTCTTGGTATCTACAGCTGCAGACAGGGGACAATTGAAGGGATTGAAAATAATCCTAATTGCCAAGATGCAGGAAAAGCAACACTCAACCCACCATCTCAGCTGAAGTAACTGGAAGATCCACAAATCCAGTCAAACTTAATGTAAGACCTTGAATCTTTTGCAGCCCAAAAGGATCATTGCCAGAGATTAACCAACTCTCATAGACTACCTGGATCAATAATAACCTTCACTTAAGGAAAGTGAGGACCAACAACAGCAGCTCTGGTTCCACAGTGAGCCAGCAGGCAGACAGGGACACCCTGACTTCCAACCTCTACTGTACCTACAAAATACCGCTCTTTTGTTGGGATCTAGCTCCTAGCTCCAATGAGGCAGCAGAGATGAGATGAGCATACTTCTGCACTGGCCCCGCGTGAGGGGACCTCACATGGAACCAGTGTTCATTGGGAGCCAGCGCCATTGTTACTTCCCGTGATCAATGTGCTTTGTGCAACGCACTTCCCAAGCTCTCAGGTTCTCAGCAAGCAGCACGCACCCTGCTTACCATTTAGCTTTTTGGAGAAGTAGTAGGAGTCACCATCTCAGCCAGTTGAGTAGATGGGAGTGAGTCCACACATCACGGGCAGGATGTTACAGGTTACAGAACAGACTTCTCAGGCACACAGGCTGAGATCACATAAGATCTGGCCTTGGGAAACTCATCCCTTCCTGTTTTGAGACCCACAGAGCTATTGCCAAGTAACTTAAGGCAAATGATTTCATGTCATGGACCAGATTTCCTTTTATACCTCCTTCCATTCACACCCACTAACAACCGACTGGGAGAAACTTAACTTGATGGGAGAAAACTCAGAGGATGAAGATCCTGTCTCGTGACGTGCTAAGGAAAGACATTCCAGTGTTTTACTGTTAACACAGGAACTACTGCCAAGACCTGAACAATCCCATTGTTGCACAAGAAAATGTAACCTTGCCCAAGGCAAGTGGCAGAGGGCACCGCGCACTTACGGAATCAAAGGAGTTGGAGGTGAAAGGGGACCAAAGAGGTCACACCAGTCCACTTCCTCCGACAGTGCTCCCTCATACCTTCACTAGTCTCTTGCTCAATCTGCTTTTTAAAATGTCACCCATGGCAGCGCAACATTTAACCTAATTTCCAGTCCCTTGTTTGTAGGAGTATGCCTTTCTTCCAGTCTGTGTAATCCGTTATTTATCAGTTTAACTTTTTGCTGAGAGCAGCTTGTCATTTTCAGAAACGGCTTCTTCAGGGCAGCACAGCACGCAACAGCTGGAACACGCCACTGTCTCGCACGTCAGCCTGTACAAGGCACATCTGTCTTGGATACCTCTGCATCCAGGTTTGTTCTGCAGTTACCACTACAAGCAACCCCCCAGGGTTTCCTGGCAAGTGCTCTCACCCAAGAACATCTAACCCACTCCCTGTTTCTAGTTATGTTCCCAGCTCCACCTTCCTCCTCTCTGCAAGGGTGCTGTCCATTGCAGAATCAACCTGAGACACTTGAAAGGTCTCAGATAGGGCAGGGCATCCATCAATCCAGCCATCATGTCCCATCTCTATCATTCACAAGCAATGCTGAAAAAAGTGCCATTACTAGTCATCCAACTACAAGAACACCCACAGTGCTGGGCACTTGACAAACGTGCAAGAAACAGCCCTGTCCCAGAGACCCCATCATCACAGACGCAGTACGAAGAAAAGATGTGCCTTAAAAAAAGAGGGAAAGCCTGGGACATCACCTTTAATGAATACTGCTAATGCCACATGCTGTTTCTTTGTCTACCACAGACATTCCCAGTTGCTCTCTTGCCTTTCGGTTGCTGGCTAATCTAGTCAGCCTGTATCCAGGGAGGCAGTGTCAGCCCAAATTCCCTTCTTGGGAACATGCTGGAACACGAAGTCTGTACTTTCTAAACATTAACGTCCTAGATCCCAATCACATTAGAGACCAAACATGTCCTGGGCAAAGAAACCGAAAAAGCAGTGACACCCATGAAGAAGCCAAACAGAAGGAGGCCACAGCCACATGAGCTTCTTGGGAGAGGTTCTCACTTGCCCTGCTCGGTTCTCTAGCTCTTGCAGCTGTGGATTTAGGCAGCAGTCACTGCTGAATAGCCTCTGGGGAGTTCCTGCCTGTCTGCACTGCACATCTCTGTATCCGAGGGATGAGCAAGACTCTCTGATCACCTGAGCAGTCCAGATCCAGCTTGCAAGCTAGATTCACCCAACCACTTCTTCCCCACACCTTATCTTTAACAGCAAACACAGAAGCAGCTTTGCAAGGGAACCAATTCCCATAACACCTTCGCTAATGGAGGTTTCTTCTTGACACTACACTGTACACAAAATCGAATTCAACAGCTTCATCGTTGCATTTCACACCTGCCACGGTATTTGCCTCACCTGTTTCAGGGAAGAAGCACCAATATACCAGCAGTGCAAGCACAATTTGGCCATATGTTTAGCTCATAGTTTCATAGTTTCAGGGTCGGAAGGGACCTAATAGATCTTCTAGCCCGACCCCCCGCCAGGGCGGGAGAACAACCCAAAAACACAAACAAAACCACTCCCCCTAAAAACAAAAACGGGACTCAAATGAGTCCAGCCAGGTAAGTATCCAGCCTCTTCTTAAAGATCCCCAGGGTAGGGGCCAGCACCACCTCCCTTGGAAGTTGGTTCCAGCTCCTAGCCGCCCTGACTGTGAAGTAGTTTTTTCGGATGTATCTCCTTTCCAAAGGAGATGACTACTTCAAGGAACAGAAATAATGCAGCAACGTTTTTGCTGACCTCACTGGAAGTAGCAGATCAGCAAGACAGAGACTGGACAGACCATATCGAGACCAAACACCCTGGCTGAGAATCTCAGTCACAGATTTTACCTGCTTACAGCAGGACCAGAATGGATCTATACAGGCTTGCTCCAGGGCACAACCACTTCAGGAGCTAGGAGGCTAGCATTCACTGAGTCACCTGCAAAGACCCTTTTGCTGGGATGCACCATCAAAACTTTATTCCAGTTCTCTCAAGAAAACAGCAACAGTAACCAAACAAAAAGGTTTCCTGGGGGTTTGACTCAGCAAACCTCCTCTACAAGGTGTCCCACCAAGTCCAGCAAAGGCACAGGATGGGATACAGAATTAGTCTGATAGTTCCTCCATGGGACAAGACCAGTGACTGGTGGCTGCTCTGCAGCAAGTGTTTACCAAACTAACAAAGGAAATGAATGGGTGATAATCCACATGTGCAACACAGCCCAGCCTTTCACATACTGCTCCTGGGCACTGTGGCAGTCATCTCAGTTTAGGGAAAATTCTGATAAAGAGGATCATGCTGATGAAAATAAAACACACTATGATTAGCATTATCCACAGCAACCAGTTGACAGATTTCTTTGCATGCTGCTCAAGACGTTCAGACTCATCCTTCAGCTTCTCAAAGTTATGGTCCGCCATCCTGAGGGACTGAGACAACGTCTGGGGAACAAAGAGAGGGAGCTGTAAGTCACCTGATTTTCAGGAGAAGGAAGACAACATCTTGGGGCTGGTGAGCAATCAAGCCAAGTGGTGCTGACAGCCAGACCAGCAGGCTCTACAATGGAGAAAATACAAAGAGGCCCCAGTGGTTAATACTACGGGCACTCAGATTTGAGAACTGCAGTCTGAAAGCAGAAGCCCACAGACAGATTTAGGACCTTAAGTGAAGTAACCCAATTGCAGAAGTGCCAGACATCAGCGGCTCCCAAATCCTTCAAAGGCCAGACCTCCATAGCTTCAGACACCTCCATTTGAAAGTTTCCGGACACTATTTCTTACATTCATAGACGTAGGGTCGGAAGGGACCCAAGTAGATCACCAAGTCCGACCCCCTGCCCTGGGCAGGAGAGAATACTGGGCTCATCTGACCACAGCTAGGTAATTGTCAAGCCTCCTCCTTAAAGACCCCCAAGGTAGGAGCCAGCACCACTTCCCTTAGAAGTTAGTTCCAGATCCTAGCTGCTAAAGTTGCTTTGACTCAGCAAACCTCCTCTACTTCCCTTGGAAGTTGGTTCCAGATCCTAGATATAGCTAAACGCAAAATAAAAGATAAAGTCTGCCCCCAGTGAAGACCAAATGCACCAAAGACAGGTCCTGCCAGTGAACTCT